AAAAAAAAAAAAAAAAAAAAAAAAAAAAAAAAAAAAAAAAAAATGTCCTCACTGTGCTTGAGCTTGCCCGCGTCCAGCTGGTTCGACGATTCGGTCCGGGAGCTCGTCAACTGATCCGCGTCCGACTCGCTCTCGTCGCTCTCCACGTCGCCCTGGGCCCGGTGCTTCCGCGCCTGACGTCGACGCGACGACACACTCTTCAACGTCTGCTCGCAATCCAAATGTCCCATAAATCATCCATTACACCACACAATAAAATTACCATGCAAACGCAAACTCACCGTCGTCGCGGGTGGTGGACTCGCGCAGCCCTCCGTCATCGCGTGCTCGTGGTACATGAAACTGTGTAGGAGAGTGTTGTTCGGGTGTAGGCCGGCCGCGGACACTTCCGCCGCGCCTGCCAGGCCTCCCAATCCAGCCAGGCCTCCCAGGCCGGCCCCTGCGCCCTCCGACAGCTGGAACGTAGCGTACGGAGAGATATCCTCCGCCGTCTCTGTAAGCCATCAGAGGCATTGCCTACCTTTCAAATCGGCCTCGACTCCTTTTCGCTTTGCCCTTTTCCCTACCCCACCCACTCGTACGCATACACATCCAACGAAATAATACACGCATAGAAACGATCGGCGAAATTGTCACCTGGAATCTTGTCCTGGGCCCCGGCGTTGGCCTGCAAGGCGACCTTGTGAATCGTCGCGTAGTACCTTTCCCGCTGCGTCTCCGCGTTCTGTTGGTTCTCCTGGGACTCCTTCATCGGCCTCTGCATCCGCTCGGCCGAGTACCCTGCAACAACACCCCCCGTTTAATATACACGGAACGTTCCCATGGGCGCGATGGACTCACTGTTGCGCCAACGGGCCCCGATGGTAGCGGCGGCCATGAGAAGGACCCCCATCATGAGCATCAACGGCAGGATGAACTTGAGATCGGCGTAAAAGGCGACGACGCTGACCATACCACCGTGGTCCGAGAGTTCGCTGGGTGGGGCGCCGTCCCTGGTCAGGGTGACGAAGGTGAACTCGGCCTGGTTGCTGCCGGCCACATTGTACGCCTCGATCTTGAGCTGGTAGACGGAGCTCGAGGCCAAGTTGGTTATCACGAAGCGCCGTTGCATCTTGACGTTGTTCGAGACGAGGGTCCAGTGGAACTCGTTGATCGGCCGGTACTGGATCACAAAGTACATGATGGGGCAGCCGTTGTCCGGCCACGTGGTCAGCCTCAGGACCAGGGAACTCGAGTTTGGCGCCAGAAAGGCGGCTGCCGGTGGTATGCCGGGCGGCTGGCCCTGCGTGCGCACCGAAAGAACCGGCGAGGCCGGGCTACTGCCGATCTTGTTGTGCGAGCTCAGGTACAGCTGGTACGTGTTGCCGCAGAGCAAGTTCTTTCGAGGCGAGGAGGAAGAAAAAAAAAAAAAAAAACAATAGTGTCAAAAGCCTTGTTAAATTTCAATGTGTCCAGGCTTGAAAGTGATGAAAAAGGTATAAGTACTTTGAGCTCGTGGCTGGTGGCTCGTCGCGACAGCTGCATCTCCTCGAGGGTACCGTGAGTGGTCCGATAATGCAGGGTGTACTTGGTAAGAGGCGCGCCCCCGTTGTAGCCCGGCTTCCAGTGGAGGAGGATGCTGCTCGAGGTCGAACTCGAGACGTAGAGCACAGGTGCGCTCGGTGGAACTGCGTGGTATTCACACGGTACATAAATATACATGCATAATCATGTATCGTCGCCTATAGGGCCATTAAAATCTATTAAAACTCACCTTGCACGACGAGGGCGTAAAACACTCGGTCGCTACCTTGGGAGTTTTCCACCTGGCAGGTGTAGTTACCCGAGTCCTGGGGCTGGAGGCTCGAGAAAACGAGTTCCCCCGACTGAAGGATCTGTATGTTGCGGCTCGAGTCCGTGCGCACCTGTTCCAAGTTCGATTTGTACCATTCCCGGCTGGTCGGCTCGCCAACGGCGTTGCAGGGTAGATTGGCGGTGCCGCGCCACGGGCGCACCAATTGCACCCCGAAGGAGGTGATGCGCGCGGGCACGCGATTCGTCGGCACCTGGGCTGCAACCTTCGAGCTCTGGCCCTCGCCGACTCGCGTGTTCGCCGTCACCCAGAACTGATACTCGACCCGCTGCTGTAGACCCGTCGCCTCGAAGTACGTGTCACCGGCCGGCAGCATGCGCTTCCCGTGATTCAACTCCTCCCTCCCGTCCACCACCCTTTGGGTTTACGCACATGTATAATCATATTCGTTTATGTATACCGAAGAAACAACAATGTCTCTCGTAAATTTTTGAAACTTCATGTGGGAGCACTAAACTTTCTGACAATGATAACAATATAACAATGATGCTCAAGTTGCGGACAATAGGGGGGGGGGGGTTATGTCATATCTACGTACCTCGTGTGTAGATTGTATTTGATGATGACACCGTTGGGCTCGTGAGGCGGCAGCCACGAGATAAAGAGCGCTTCTGGCGAGCTCACGACAACTTTAATGTCGGCCGGGCTACCCGGCACTATTTCACAAAGAAAATCGATTAGGCACTCTCCCTCTGCACCCTCCTATACCCTCCACCTGTACACTCTACACCTAACGTGCCGTATACTGTTCTTTATCATCGAAACAGCATCACAGAGGGCTTTTGGAAAATGGGTCACAGATATATGTATACATTGCACAGCATATACACGTAAATGTGTGTCAGAGTATAGGTACAGAGAGGTGGTATACATATAGGTATGCATGGGTACGTAGATACATAGAGACACGTATATATTATATGGATGTCGTATACCGTCTTCCTGTGTGTGGCAATAAGTGACTCGCGTCGGCACTCCGTCGCCCACCCGAGTAGACGCCACCACTTGGATGCTGTAATTTGTGTACTTTCGCAAGCCCGTCAGTACAGCAGTGAGGGCGCTCGTTTTCCGCACCTTTAACACCATTTCAATGATAAGGGTATATAAGTATTGCATCGATTTTATGCTTTTACATAAATGGGCTCGCATTCACGGGGAATCCCCGATATCTCTCTCTCTCTCTCTCGATTTCTTTCTTCGAACGATCCTTTTTTTTTTTTTTTCTTTCTCTGCTCTCTCCAATCGATGCAAGTAAGTACTTTATTTACGATTTCTCGTTTTACCTCTGTCGTACGAGATTCAAGATTTTTTTTTTTTTTTTTTTTTTTTGTTTTTTTTTTTCGTTACTTTGTTATTGTATTCTTGCCCAATAAACAAATCAATAAATCAATAACCAAGATGAGACCATTTACAGTACACGACTGGATTGAGTATTTTTTTTTTTTTCATTCAACATTGTCTCTCGCATATCTAACAAACGGACAAGGTATTTGTTGCTTATTATTCGTCGTACGTGCTATCAGCCTTCGAAAAGTCATATCCAAGAAGTTAATCACTCAAAAAACTAGTGTTATTAGTATACGATTTTTACTTTTTTTTTTTTTTTTTTCTTACTATTTTATTATCATTATCATTACCTTCGCTAAGTACTATACCGTCGTATTCGATCATACAAAACATTGCTGTCAAGTATACTGACTACTGAAAAGAGTTTTTTGTTCTAAAAAGGTTCGAAATTCTTAACGATTAATATTTTGTTTATTTTTTTTATTTTTTATTTAATTCCACCGTGCTCTGACTATCAAAAAAGTGCGTATCGGCTTGGCGCAGTTTGAATTCCTAGTAAAAATTTGGTAGACATGGGTTTCGGTGTTTTTTTTTTCTTTATAGTATTGGCATAAGTTTTTCCAGTCTTTTTTTTATGTTCTTACTCGGTTTTTGTTTCCTCTCAGTACATTTTAGTGACGTGAAAAAATTTATTAAAATTAAAGATATGTAATATAGTCTTTTTTTTTTTTCCTGTTTTTTGGCAGTCGTTTGGATGTGCGATCGCGTTTGTGCGCTTCGGCTTCTCTCTCGCTGTGCTGCAATCAAGTCTCAATCGGAGCAACGTTACTCCAATTGATTGAATTTTAATTAAAGCACACGCCAAGAGTATACCGTAAAAATGGAGAAAAAAAAACAAACAATAACAAGTAATAATGTCATCGCAACAAACATCGAAAAAGGTGACAATATATAAAAAGGGTATTTACATACATATATATATATATGAATGACCATAAACGAGATTTTCAGAGTGATTAGTCCTTGGCTCAAATCTTTGGCACTTGAATAGTCTTCTATCATAGAAACAACATTGTACGGGACTTTGTCTTTCCTTATTAAATAGTTTACAGTTGGTAAAAAAAAATTAAACAGATAGAACCGCGATCAAAGTCCCTTCGGCTTCGTCTTTTTATTTTTTATTTTATTTTGAAAATTCAAACACCGGTAGTACTTAGGCGGGCCACCGCATTATAGGTATACATATACAGTCACGCCGTTGTTCGCTNNNNTTTTTTTTTTTTTTTTTTTTTTTTTTTTTTTTTTTTTTTTTTTTTTTTTTTTTTTTCATTGCGAATGAAGTTAAAGAGGAGAAAAAAACAAAAAGGTAAAAACTAAAGTCAAACGTCAAACCACGGCATGTACAATATAACGAGAGAGCCAAATGTGGATGAAAGCGACTACGCAGTAGAGTAGCTTTTCTAATGAGAGTGCACGGAGAGAGCGGTGTTTTCAAAGGGAAACGAAGGGAAAGAGAGAGAGAGAGAGGGAGGGAGGGGGTGGTACAGCGACCTGTACGTACCTCCATTTCGTCGATGCTCGGCCAGTACTCCCCGAGGATCGGCTCGTAATTGAGTTTGTAGCCAACTATGATGCCGTTGGTGTGGCTGTTGGGCGGCGGCTGCCACGATACCTGCAACGACTCGGATGTCAGGGCGGCACATCTCACGTCCTCCGCCGGCATACTTGGCACTGCATTTCATACACCACATTTTCAATCACATTGTACTACAACTATATGTTATAATATACATTGTTACATATTGTTACTCATTGCGTGACTTACCGTCCTCGAGGGTTTGCGTGTTTAGGTGCTCCGACAGGGGACCCGGTCCAACTTGGTTGTACGCCTGGACGATGAGGGTGTACCTCGTGTAGGGCCTCAGTCCCGTTAGCCGTAACTCAGCGCCACCCTCCTCCCCGTCGCCCGGCACCGATGTAAAGTTAAACGACGTATTCGGCGACCTAACAGGGTCGTTCATTGGCCATTATACCCATTCGGTTTTGTGCGTCCAAATATGATTGTGGTCAAAGTAACCATCGACATATATTGATAAAATGGTTCCACTCACGTGGTCTCGCGGAAGCCAACGTTGAAGCCCTCGATGTCGCCGTGCCTGAGCTCGGGCAGGGGCGGCAGCCAAGTGACGAGTATCTCGGTCGAGGAGAGCGCCCTGGCGGCCAAATTGAGAGGCGGCCCGGCCGGTCTCTGCGGCTCCGTTTTGACGTGCAGCTCGGTCGAGGGGACAGACCGGCCGGCCGGGCCCTCGGCGATCACCCGCACGGTGTACCGCGTCGCCGGCTTGAGATCGTCGATCAGAGCTGCGTAAGGCAGGGGCGGGCCGCTCAACTCCTGCTGCTGCCACATACCATCGTTCTCCTTGTACTGGAGTATGTACTTGCTAACCTCGCTCGTGTCCTGGGACTTGTGCTGCCACTTGACGTTTATGCTGCGGCTCGCCACCATAGCCGTCTCGAGGTTGCCCGGGGCCATCGGGGGCTCTGGTGGAAGATTTCCACGTGTTATTCGTTAAACAATGCGTCCGCAATGCTGGATATGGATATAAACGAACCCTGGACGAGTAGCTGGACGAGCTGCTGGTCCCGGCCGTACAGGTTGGACGCTTGGCAAAAGTACGCCCCGCTGTCGGAAGCCTCGGCCGACGATATCTGCAGTTGGGCGACCACGCCGTCGGGCGTCGACTCTTGTTTCGTCGTCACCCTGCACAAGCGTGCAACAAGTATATATTATATAGCGATGAAAAAAAAAAAAAAACACCACACAACGTGTATAGCTCGTGCGGAGAGGACGCCCGCGCTTACCTGTAATTCGTCGAGGGGTTCATTTCGTCCCTGCCGCCCTTGAACCAGCCGACGCTTATGGGCTTGTCACCGTGGACTTCGCAGTGCAGGGTCGCGGTGTCGGATTTTTTCACGGTGACTAGTCGCGAGGGCGCGGCGAAAAACGGCGAGGCTACACGGGTGACCGACCAGTCGGTATTTAATTGCCATGCGCTCGAAAAGGGCGTTAATAATATATTATGTCAGTTGGAAAATAAGCTTACAGTTGACTTTGAGCTGAATGACTTTGTTGATGCCCGAGCCGATGCCGTTGCTGGCTTGGCACAGGTAGTAGCCCTCCCTGTCCTCCTTGACGTGCTGGAGCAGGAGGGTGCCGTTGTTCAGGACTTTGGTGTACGGCCGCTCGCGCAACTCCTCGTAATCCCCGGACTTACCGCCTTTGTTTTTTTTTTTTTTGTTTTTTTCACCACGCACACCCAACACGTTTATTATTAATATTTTTGTCTCGATTTACGCGGGTGAGCAGTGATTTTGGTTTTTTTTTTTTTTTCCCCTCCTCGGTCGACGACCGCAGGGGTATTTTCGTTTAATGTGTGTACATGATACCTTACCGGTGGCTTTTTTCCATATGATATTGGGCGCGGGCACGCCCTGGGCTTGGCAGTGCAGTGCCACGTGTCTGTTGCGCTCGACGCTCGTGTCGCTCGGCTCGACGGTCCAACGCGGTGGTACTGAAATTACCGAGAGGCCACGCTTTATTTTAAAAAAACAACGGGTTCCGCTCGAATGGCTCGCTATCTTTTTTTTTTTTTTTTTTTTTTTTTTTTTTTTTTTTTTTTTTTTTNTTTTTTTTTTTTTTTTTTTTTTTTTTTTTTTTTTTTTTTTGTTTCTTTTAACCCCCCGCGTTCGGTCCCAAGATGCAGAGCACGCGTCATTTGTTCTCTCGCGTAACTATATATGTACACCCACGCATTTGTAACCAAAAGAGGGTTATGAATGCGGAAAAGAGAGTGGGAGAGAGAAGGGAGGGGGGAGGGGATGAAAAAAAGAAAAGTCACGGGTGGCGAGTTCGTTGGGCAGACACTTGTGGCGGGCCTAGCGGTGTTGTTGTCGGTGTTGCTGAATTACCATGGACCACGATCCTTTGCGTGTGGGAGACCTGGCCCGCCAAGTTGGCCGCCGAGCACGAGTAGTTGGCGTTATGATCCGGGGACAAGCTCTCGATCATGAGTATGCTGTTGTACTGGTCGACGTTGGTGATGGTCACGCGATCGGACGAGCTCAGGGTGCGCCCGTCCTTCAGCCAGAATATCGTCAGGGGCAGGTCGCCCCGCGTCACCGAGCACGTGAGCGTCGTGCGCTCGGCCAGGTGGAGCTCCTGATCGGCCGTGAAGGGACTTATTTTAGGAGGAACTGCAACGTCCGATCAAAAAAGAAAGAAAAAAAAAACAACGTTGGAGATGTGCACGAGGATGAGTCTTAACCAAACTAATCGCCACTGGCTCATCTTGGTCGAAGCAGTTGTCTCCTGTTGCCACCTTCTGTATATAAATATATACTCTCTCTCTGCCGCCGCCGGGTACACGTTACGAGGACCACCTAAATCCTTACGCCAATACTCCCACCCACCCAAAAAACGCGCGAATGCACGGCATTTGCGATATAATTTATGTAAAAATAAAAAAAAAATGCATGAGTCATATTGTAATAGTACCTATTGTATGTATATGCAAGAGAATATGGTGGGCTTACCGATGACGGCGACGTCACCGCTGCGCCTGGCGCTGTGGCCCTGTTTGTTTTTCGCCCAGCACGTGTACACCCCGCTGTCGGCAATCTTCGACACGCTCGTGACGATGAGGGTGCCGTCGGACAGGACCTTTTGGCGCAGGTCCTCGGGTAGCTCGCGGCCGGCTCTCTCCCAGCGTATCTCCTCGATCGGGTAGCCGGCCACCGGGCACTTTAGGTGCAGGGTCTCGCCCGCCACCGCCGTCACTTTCGGGATCAGCCGGATGTACGGCAGACCTGCTCAAGCGCGTATAGTTTTTTTTTTTTTTTTTTTTTTTTTTTTTTTTTTTTTTTTTTTTTTTCATTACGTGATATATACTTTCTAGATGCATGGAACTTTTTTTTTTTCAATCTTTTTACAGTTTAGCGAATTTTCGGGTTTTTCGCCACATGTAGGAAAATTTAGAAAATATGTACAGACAGATCAATGAGCGACAGAGAAAGGAAATAAATAAATATGTATACGGACACAAAAGAGCTCGTGATATAAGTACATACACGTAGAAAACATGTTTTTTTATAAGATTATATTCATATATTTACTATACAGTTTGAAACGTTCAACTTTGGTAATTTCAATACATCTAGAGACAAAAATATTTATGTTAAAAGATAAAGTAAGTGAAAAAAGAGATGATGTACTTAAAAAATAAGGTATGTTTGAACTTTTTTTTTTTCAAAAATTATTTTACAGAATAAGACAAAGTTTACTACTTGAACTATGTGTATAGTAATTGAGGAAAAAAGTACGTATATTTGTAAAATTAATAAAATTATGGCACTTGAAATGAGAGTAGTAAACATTTTTCAAAAATTTTCAATCAGTATAAGTAATAACAGTAGTATGAATAAAAATATCTGAATACTATGTAGATTGGATTGTAAAATAAAAACGATTAACGTATAACAATAAGACAGAAAAAAATGTTGTAACGATCGATAGAAGTCGACTATTGTATTTGTTATTTACACGCACAAATATGATGTAAATAATATACATATGTCAGCGATAAAAAAGAACACGATGTTCCATGATTCAACAAATTCATGAAACACGATTGGATGAGGCTCATCGAGGTAGGATTTTGATTTTTTCGGTAAAACGAGGTATTTAAACAGGCGTTCAATTGTTTAATTGTATAATTACCATTTGTAATATTGTACACGTCGAAAATTTAAATAATTATTTTCTGTGGAAAAAGTACCGTAATATAGTAACATTTTCGTCCACTTGTTGCTTTACGTCATGACGTCTGCAGATACGTTTTATCTTAGTTATCGGTTGACGTCAAAACATGCGTCACAGCATTTGGCTAACATCAGTAGGTAATTTAAATTGATCAGCGTCATATCAGTACTTATTCTCGCGTTACACGCAACGGTTACAGCAATCAATTAAAGTAAACTATTTTATCGAGATCGTAGAGCTCAAATTGAATATCTATAAATATGGTAATCACATGTCACAAACAAAAAATAGAAAAATTTACGTTTTCTGTAGTGCAAAATAAAGTGAGCTACCGCGAAATAAGTGCATACACAATTTAAATATATACACGGACATAACCTTAAAAAGTTGAAAACACTAGATATGAGTTTATTTATGTGATTAGAAACTGCAATTCGAAATGTGTACACCGCAAAAGTGGATGATTATTTATCGATTGCTCTGCATTTGAACGGAAAATCGATCGTGTACGCCTGCCTGATAAATACCTCGTGGATAAATATTAAAGACTGGATATTCGGAAATTCTGAAAAGAATTTTATTGACGGGTACTACTTTTTTACGGTTGTGATATAAATATATAAAAAACGCTGCACAAGCGAAAAGTTACTGGTGGTGAATTTTTAATTTAATACATATATATAGTTATATAGATGTTTGAAAAAAACGCAGGTATACGTACAGTGGAAGTAAAAGACAAAAAATACGTATTATGAAAAAATTTTAGCAAGAGATAGATAAAATTAGAAAAACAAGTAAGAGGCAAATTATGTGTATGTTAGCAGATACTTAAAGCTTATAAATATGTGTATAATTATTTAGCTGTGTTTTACAGGAACATACGTACGTCACGCGTACATATATACTTCAGTATACACCCATGTCTCATCTTGACAAGTTAATCAAAAAGGAGGCAAAGTTATCATAAATTTTAGGAGAACATATACAATAATAATAGTAATGAATATGCGTTTAGAAGATCAACAGTTGTATGTCACGAGTGTCATTCCGTATATTCCAGCCAAGTATCATCTAATATTGGTAAGCTAAAAAAATTTTCTACAAAATACAAAAACATTTAAAAATTACAGTGCTGCTAAATTTGCTAAAAAAAACTAGTTGCGTTGTACATCTAAGAAACTACTATATACGTGTCTAACTACAAAGTGGTACCTGCGATCGGGGTTACAGCTCATATTTCTCGAAAAATTACTTATTTACAGATAATCGCGCGTACCACGTGAAAAATAGGTATGTATGTACAGAAAAGTTTTTTATAAAAACATCGAGATATTTTTAAAAACATACAGTAACATCTAGAGATATTGAAAAATACATGAAGATTTGAAAAAGTTTAAAAAGGTAAGTATATACATATTTGTAAAATTGGCGTGGTACGATTGTTCATAATAAGCAAGCGCATGAAAATGTGAAATTCAAAAACTATTTTATTCAATAAAAAGTGATAAGAAAAAATCGCAATAAATACGTATACAAGTAAAAAAGCTTGATTTATCAAATGTTAAATTTGCATAAAAGATTGCGAAAAAGTTATTTTAAAAAGTTGTTAAAAAAAAAAAAAAAAAAAAAATGAAAAAATAAATAAAATATGTTTAAATAACAAATACGACGTTACACGATGTTACTACAGAGCCAAATTGGATTCTACGTAAAAAGAAAAACAAACATTTTCCAGCGAAACAATATATGACATTGCATCCATCATATATTTCCACGACTGAATAATGTTTAATGGATGAAAAAAAAAGTATACATGCGCCATATATAGCTGTTGATTCATGCTCGTTTGATCGTAAATATAACACTTACCTCGAGCGACCTCTTCGCGGCAGCGACTTTTGCTCTGACATTGGTGAGATGTCCGAGGAAGTGCTCGACGTGCCGTGATACATGAAATCCGAGACGGCTCGAACTGGCGAGAAAACGAAAAAAATAGTTACTTTTGATTGAAGAAGCGAGAAAAAACAAAACATATAGAGATAGAAAAAAAAAAAAAAAAAAAAAAAACAAAAAGGCCAAATAAAGGTGGAAGGGGCATGTATGCTTGAAACATAGAATCTCATCAAAGTAGTCTGCATATGCAAGCAGTAATGCTGCAACTTCCTACATTGAATCGTCATAACGTGACAGAGTAAACATCACGTATACTATTTATAATAAGCGAGTGCATTAATAGATTTTTAATATACTTTAATGTGTATGAATTAATACACTTCATAATTTGATTAGCGTATAGTAAGCGCAAAGCATTTCGAGTTAGAGTAATACATCGTATCAAACATGCACTTCACTGTCAGTGTGCGATTTGGATAAAATATATGTCATAACTTTCATAGCGCAAACGCTGTTCAAAAAAAATCATAAAAAAACAACATTTTTTTATAGGTAAAATGGTTAAATACAGTAAAGATGAAGTGCAT